GGCAGGACAGACATACTTAACACAGCGTGTGGTAGAACACATTCCAAAGTATGTAGTCCAAACACCGTCAGGAGAACCATCGGGTCAAAGGTTAAATTGCACTCATGTATCATCAGTAGCCAGATATCTCTTAGATAAGGGCTATCCTTCTGCAACACAAACCTCAAGCTTTTTGCAATAAGCGAAGTACTACTGATATACTCAAGCCAGCCCACACCATATGCACAAAAAAGGTTGAAGCAAACAATTCGGTTACCCTGACATTGATCAGGCAACTTGTAGAAGTTAGCCAACCACAGTGCCTTTTAAACATTGTTCCCAGTTATCATCTATGTAATTCGTGTTTAGAGGTCCGCCACCGAAGAGTAAGAACTGTTAACACATCGCAGCATGTTTCGTCACCTCTACTTAGACTCAACATTGGACAAATGTGGTATGATTTTATTGTAATACAATGTGTTCCACATTGGAAACCTCGTTTAACCAAACCATTGACAGTACCGATGAATTAAACTCATATGGCGATCAGCATTGTTGTTAGAAGGTCCGTTAGAAGGACTCAGGAATTAGTTGCAGTGTTGAGAAAAATGATGCGCCTTTTACAAGTTACTGTGAAAATGCAAGTAGTTAGGCAAAAGTGACAGAGGTTTCCACCTGAGGTAAACGACTCGAAAAAGTGAACATGTAGCAGTTGGAACCTACACGCCCCTGGTACGCGCTTCGCAGCTCAAGGTCTCAAATGAGCTAGATTCGAGGATGAGATCAATTAACATAAATAGTTACAAACCAATAATTAGCCGATGCGGCTACCGCTGCGGTGGCAGCGAGGGTCAAAGTGATGGCTCACCAAGATAGCAGTAAAAGTCCGAGTAACGGCACTCAAAAAAGGACATCAGGAATTCGCGAACGTTGGGAAGGCTGTGAAGTACTTCCTGTATCTCGGAACCTCTGATAACCTAAAACACAAAAGATGGGACTGAACACAAAATAGGTTACAGAAGTACAGCATGCTGAACAAGGAATGGCAATAATAGGTCCGGCGGATTCTAATAGTTGAAAGGCGCCAAGTTGTTTGGAAATAGTATGAACCCATTTCTTGCAACAAAAAGCAATGAATATGTTCAGTCTACTATTTTCACATTGGCTTTCATGTAATGAGTGTAGGCCAGTTTAGAGTCAAAAACTGACGCTATATGCGTCAGCTAAGTGCATTTGCATTTTGTTGTGGTCCATTTACCGGGATTCACTGCTACTAAGTTGTAGTCACAAGAAGATGGACCATAACTTCATCAAGGATGAAACGGCGTCAGCTTATGTTATAAGTACGATTTTAGTTTATCAAAAGTAAGCACTAGATGCTATCTGTTGGCGACCAATGGCGCACGGCAAGTCAGCGCATTATTGTGTTCTAAGTTGTCGCATTATCAAAATGGTCACTTATTACCTGCATCTGAAATTCAGTTAAAATCACCATCATCACCATCATCAACAACAATGGCAGCGAAACCAGACGCGAACACTGGTGCTTCACTGCCGTAATGCAGCTAGAAGCTTCAATGAGATACGCGCATACAAGTTGCCTATCCATCCACATAGTAAATAAACGCCGAATAGCTTTAACCTCGGTTAGATAACTGGGGACTAAGCATGTTTAATCGCCGCACACAGTGAGACAACAGAAAAGCACTTGTGAGCCGGTAAAAACGTCACCAAAATCTAGCTTAATTATGGTGTGCGCTGTAGACCGTGGCTGATGTCACAGGGGAAACCTCAGTCAAACAAAAAAAACAGCTAACCTTCTCACGCAAATCGGGCCGCTTCAAAGCAATCATGGCAGTCATCACCGTATAGATAATAAAGCGTTTGTAATCCATCAATTCGTAGCTTGTAAACGTTGCAACTGCGTCCAAAAACTGTTTAGCGGCCTCAGGAAAGTCGCGGACAGTCAAACTGTATAAACCACGGTATACCTTGAGACGGTTCCGACGATCCCAGTCTCCGCCCGCTTCAATCAAACTAAAGGGTCAAAGTAATGAGTAGACGAAACATACTCGCTTGCAATTTCTAGATACTTTGATATAAGTTTCCTATCGCCAAAGAAAAATCCGATCCGCAGAAGATGGAATATTGTGTCTAGACGGAATCCTGGCATTAAAACCTTGTCGAGGATTAAACGGAATTGAGAAAGAGCTCTTTCCTAGAACGGACTGGTAAGTAAAGAAAGACACATTACCTTGTCGCCGATTTTACTCAGGTAGTGTGCCTTCGCAGTCATTGCAGCACGAATCTCCGTTTCCCCAAGGTTTTCCTCTGCATCTTTCAGCTTGTCGTCCAGTTCCCTTAACTGTTTTTCATTCTCGGATTTCATTGTTTTCAAAAGTTGCGGATCCATGCGTAGACCTAATTCTTTACAAACCACTTCATAGTAAGGAGCCATATCTATAAAAACAACAATACGGATGCCATTGAATTAAAGCTATACTGCAGAGGCAACAACATGGTCGAATATTCGTGTTCGACTAACTAAAAGCAAAGTAAAACTAGTAGAGGTTGAAAAATCACCACACAATGACCAGTTATATTTGGATACCGGTCGAAAAGCGAATTTAACCCATGCTAAAACGCTGGCAAGCAGAATAAAGATGTCTATCCTTTTAGGGGATCATCGTTATGAGGCAGTTGATTCGAATTGTGGTTGAGTTGGATTTGAAATATGAAAGGGCCGCATAAATCGTAAAATAATGTCGGTTCTATGGATAATGTGAACGTTCGTTTTGTGGAATATCGACTGCTTTTTTGTACAAAAACGACTTCTCGTGCCGTTTCTACATCCTTTATCATACAACCAAACTTCACTTCTATCTGCCACCAACTGCTTAGTATTGGTTTTTGCGAACATGCTACAGGATCCCTTCTCCCCGACTAAGGCATTTTCGGCATGCAACTACTTCAATCGCTGTCATCTTTAGGAGGAAACAGCTTCTTGTCCGAGATGTTTAATGGCTTTCGCGCTGAATGGTTTAAACACCCGGCGGGTAAAAGCATTAAAAATAACAACGTTTGGCTCATAGTTGTCCGTCAACAGTCACGTGAAAACAACCGAGGCCCGAATTATCTTATTTTAATCGGCACTTCAACATAGTAACGGTCTGAAATATGTGACAGTTGTAACACATTGGAGGCAGTGAATTTCGAAAATCAGATGAAACGATAATTTAATATTTGGCTAGTTGTTTACCAGGTCATTCTGCAAATTCAATCTAGTGTCGGGCCCTAACAGGTCATGTTGTGGTGATCGAATGGAAATAACTCCAAATTTGTATCCTTTTCGAAACGTCAATAATTCTACCAAGGTGTGAAAACCAGGATAAGGAAATTTCATCCCACACCTGGAGGTGCTCCCTCGGAAGAGGCGTCAAACTACACGCGGTTATAATATGTATTTGTAACAGAGTGCAGCTGAGTTATTTATAGTAATCCAAGTAACAGCGGCTGATGAAAGTTATTTGGAACACTATGCTAGTGTAAAGTTAATGCTTGTAGTAGCCTGTTCTGTCAAATTGAGAAACTTCACCACACTCCGACAAAAGCTGCTATAAGTATCCGCGAACTGAATTTTTGTAAAGGTTAAATTGAGATGCCACCCACAAAAAGAAGCACCTATGACCGGGAACGGTTGTGGTTTTAATATGCACTGCACTGTCATTTTCCAATTCAGAGCGTTTTTGAACTCCTGTGTTCATCAATGTAAATAACGCGGCATCGAAGGCGGAAGTAGGCAGTGTCAACAGAACTTTCATTCCGTATTATCATGAGGTTGTCTCCTTCATATCCAGATATCAGATAAAACAGTGGCCTGGGATCATTATCTTCGTATTTCGTTTGTATTTACCTATTACGTTTGTGATCATGCCCTTCGAAAACAAACGATAGTAGTAGACGACGCGTATCATCCATTCCTGTTCAGCGTTTTCATAAGGTGCCTGCCGATCGCCGGAGCCATAGATTGCGACTCCCCTCACTCCAGTTTGCATTTCTACACCGAGACGACTGTTTAAAAAGCTAAATCGCTGTTGCACGCCCTGCTTCGCCACTCATCAGCGACCGCCTCTAACCTCAGATTGGCATTTTTTGATATTTCGAAAGCGTTTGATACGGTTTCTTATGACACAAGTGTCAAATCTGCCGAGGTGTTTGGAGCACTGTCACCTCTAGTTCGATACATTGCACAGTCTTACGAGAATGCTGTAGTAGTTTTCCCCACTTCCGAGGTCCGATGCCACAGAAAGGTGAGGCAGAAAGATCCACTCTCCCCATCATTGTTCATCATGGCAACGGATGAGACTCTTGGATTGTCGATGCCGCAACTAGGATACCAGTTCCATGACACCTTATTGGATGGTTTTGCCTTTGCTGACGACTGGGTAGTATGTACAGAAAGTCAGACTAGCCTTGAAGGGAAAATTGAAGCCGCTGCGGTCAAGCTGGGAAGAGCTGCTAGGAAGATCAACGCTTGAAAGATCAAAACAATGGTTATTTGTGGGGAGAAAAAAACATCGAGCAGCAGCGGTCACAGTCGAAAATTTTTGCTTTGCCAGGGGACTCATCAATCCACCGGGCCCGACAGACACCGTGACATATTTGGGCATCCCCTTTACTTTCAAAGGGAAAGGAACCTGTGACCACCGACATCAGTTGCTTGATGAGGTGACACGTGCCCCAGTGAAGCCACATCAAAGAATGAGGATGACAAAGAACAACCTGATACCGAGACTGACATTCGCTCAAGCTAGGTCGAGTCCACCGAAACACGCTCAAAACGTTGGACAAATACATCAGGCAATCTATTCGTGGCTGGATACGTCTATGAAAGGGCACCCCGATCAGCTACATCCGCGCCTGTAAACAATATGGGGGACTTGGTAGCCCAGAATGAGTACAACAATCCGATGCAACGAGTAGCGCATATAGAAAATTTCCTTTCTACCCAGCGCCGAGTACTACGCAATGTGGACAACGATTCCGCATTTGGCAAGATTGTTCGGGATTTCAAACTTCCGATCCGGGTCCATGGTGCATGCGCAAACACCATTAAGAGCTGGTGGATGCTTGGGATGATGGTCAGCACAACAGCGTTGACGGTCACGGCTTGAGGGAATTGGTCGCTTCGCCTCTGTCGAATTGATGGTTTGTGCTTCCCGGAAAATGTGTTTCCTCGGGCATTTATCCGCGGTATCTAGCTCCGATGCAACCTGCTCCGGACGAGAGTAAGAAGCGCTCGGCGAGGTCATGGTGGCCGGACGATGTTTTATCGTGGAAACTGTGGCCAAAGGGAGAGCTTGGTGCATAATCTGCAGTCCTGCTGGATCGTGCATGACGCTAGATCTGCTCGTCATAATCAAGTTGCAAGGGAAATCGCGAAACGTCTCCGTCGCCTGGGATACACCAACTTCGAGGATTTGAGAGCAAATTCTTCGACGTCCTTTATCAAACCTGACCCAATCACTGCTCCGGAGCGCCCAACAACTGTGATAGAAGTAAGTATAGTCTCGGATGGGCGCGGAGTGACTGTGGAATGAAAAGAAGTATGGTGCTACTGAATATTCCCTTGCCATTGTCTCTGTCCTACGTGCAATCCATTGCGATGCACGATAATCATTTCATATCGAGGGATCTGATTCTTCAATCCGCCAAGGCAGTTACTGGACTGGAACTTTTTTGGGTCACAGTCAGTGACTCACGTTTGCTCATCATTCTGGGCTCTCTACGTACTTACGATACTTTTACGCGTAGTACATGGCGTTGAGTGTTTTTTCTTACCACTGGATTTCACACCTGATCCAGTATGTCGGACATTTTGCGCCTGATGTGCACGTCTTGACCGTGTTGGCGCTTGCTTTGCCTTGGAGAGCATTCAGCATCTTTTCCTTCCTTCAGATGCTGGTCATTAAACGTGCTTCCATGCCAAATATTCCTACATACGTTAGGAGTCATCTTGTCCGATTGGAACAATTGGTGGTACGCCTACGAATGGAACGTTTTCCTTGTTTTACCTAATATTCTCCTGCATACCTTTCCATATCTGTCGCTCGGGTTTACTTCATAGGTTTGTGACCATGCTCTTCAAAAATAGACGATAACGGATGTAGTAGTGTGACAGCTGAGGTCGGTGTACGAATCTCTAAGGCCCAGGTCGCGTTTGCTAACTTGACACACCTATGATGGCAGAGCGGTCTATCCCTTAATATCAAAGGACGCGTGTATCACTGCACTCGAAATAAGTCAGTGGTTCAGGCTCCAAATTATCGACCAAAATGTCTGTGCTTCGAACCCAGTTTCAGCATCTGGACTGTTTCTGTCTAGGCCTGGGCAACCTGGTGGGCTCTTAGCCGTCAAGCCTCCGGCACCTGAGCCCCTAAAGGTTACAGCTAAACGATCGACTGTATCAGGCCACAATACCGTTTTGGTACAGGTCTGTGAAATGTGGCTTCTGCAACCAGCCGAAGTGAGACATCTTCAGGCCTTTGACAACCAGTGTCCAAGAACCACAGCTCATGCAGACTGATTTCGGCGAACCTGCAACGAGGCAATTAAAAAACGAGTCAGTTGTGCAAAGAGAGCTTTAATTCGAGAATGCGTCGAGCAACAGAAACTGTGGCGGTTAGACCGCGGATTGCGCATGTGTGGTCATCGTTTCCTGTGTCCTAATCAGATTGGGCAACCAGAGAGGTGATCCATCTTTGACATGACAGAGAGAAATGAAGCCGTTTGAGTACCCTCGGTGCAACTGGCATTTCAGGACAGGGTTCGTGTAATCCTCATTGTGTCTGGTTGGAGATGCTGCAAAATATGACTGCTAAGCCATGTCAGTGGCATTTTTGTTGTCAGTTTCCATCTACATTGCTTAAATGAGTGTCTGGAGGTAAAAGCAGCTCGGAGTAGTCGTGGTAGACGGGCACTAGGTTCCTACCTCATCCAATTTTACTCTCCTTCACAATAAGACTGTTAAACGAACTATGGTTGTATAGCAACTAACACTGCCATCGATGATAGGAAGTTTCCAAACATACCCAAAGCTAAACAACGGCCAGCTAATGTACATTTGAATGCCTTTTCAGCCCGAGAGTTTGCTCCTCGAAATAGCAGTATCATGTGACCATGACCTGGAAATACCTAGATGGGGAGTGGGGAGGTTGTGACTGGGCGCCATGGGAGTGGGAGTCAACGAAAGAGGTTCTCTAAGGGCAGTTGCTTCTTCTCGAATGCCATGGCCAAATAAATGCGTTTGTTTGAGGAAATTCGCTTCGAGTTTTTCAGTGAGAAATTTTCAAGCAGAAGCTTGAAAAGGCAATATTAAGGCATTAAATTAGAATTCGCTCAAAACCACTGGTTCCAGAGACCAACCCTGATGGCTGTGGATCCGCTGGGCTAAGACAGTGACATTGGGCTGTCTGCTTGCAGATGCCGCTGACGAAAACATAAGCTCTTTGATGGAAATCGGCTTGATTCGTTGAGTAGAACACGGAACAACAAGTCGACGGATCACTTGTATTATTTCACGCGACCGGGAACTCCAGGATGCTTCAGGAAAGAGCTAGGCACTTCGCCTTCAAGCCCCATCGACCTGCTGTCAGGAGAAGGGCATGTAGACTACACTATACATCTAGTTCAAGTAGTGGCGTGTGCACAGACGCTCTACAATTCAAAAGGTTCCCCGACTTCAGGGTTGAGTTTGCTTCTCTCAGTCGACTTGCTCATCTTAACAAGCTCGTGCAACGCGGCATACTACAGAAATGCGTTCATATCATCAGCAGCAGCAGCTGTGAGGACCGCGTACAGTGGTTATAGTTGCCAGCTTCGTTCACCGATGATTTGGGGAGGTGGGATAGATAGCTGCGCACCGGAGGCGATAGCTGATGTAGTTGGCACGCCAATACATGGATGTACTTTTCAGTGAGGAGATTCGGAGCTTTGATATCAAGATAGACAAAAAAACTAACCATTCAGATGTAGAACCCTTTCAGTGTTCAGCTGTCTATATCACCCGGAAGAAGCACGACGGCTAAGATCCACCTACGTTGCCCATGCCT